TTTTTAAATGCAGGGTTGTGATGCTTCGATTCTTCTTGATCAAACTTCTACTATTAATAGTGAAAAGACTTCTCGTGCTAATAACAATTCAGCTAGAGGATTTGAGGTGATTGATAAAATTAAATCAGAGGTTGATAAAGTTTGTGGACGTCCAGTTGTATCTTGTGCTGACATCTTAGCTGTTGCAGCTCGTGACTCTGTAGTTGCTGTACGTATTATTACTACTCCCTTATTATCTTAAAATAACTATATACTTCTCTAGCTTAATTATGAATTTGTTTCTTAACATGATATTTTTACATGAACAGCTACATGGACCAAGTTGGAAAGTGAAACTCGGAAGAAGAGACTCGACTACAGCAAGTAGAACCGCGGCGAACGACAATATTCCGACTCCGTTTATGGACTTAGCTGCACTTATCAAAAACTTCAAGAAGCAAGGTTTGGATGAGGAAGACCTCGTTGCTCTCTCTGGTTCCCATACACTAGGGTTTGCTCAATGTTTCACCTTCAGGAATCGCATTTACAATGAGACTAACATTGATCCCACCTTTAGAAGACAACGCCAAGCAAATTGTCCACGTAGTGGAGGTGATTCCAATCTTGCTCCACTTGATCCAACACCAGCTCTTTTCGACTCAAAATATTTTAGTGACTTAAGGTCCAAGAAAGGGCTTTTACATTCTGATCAAGCACTATTTAGTGGAGGAAAGACCGATGATCTTGTTGAGAAATATAGTAAAAACTTAGGAATGTTTTCAAAAGATTTTGCTGAGTCTATGATTAAGATGGGTGACATCAAGCCATTGACCGGAAAGCGAGGCCAGATTCGTGTCAACTGCAGGAAGGTGAACTAATTAACAAGTGCTGATGAAATAATTGTTTGAAGAATTTGTTTATTTTCAATTGTAAGTGCGATTTTTTAAAAAATTAATAGGCTATCGCTTAAATGTACATGTTGTATTTCATCAGAAAGGTGGAAACACAAGAGGGACCGAACCATACCTCCAAAATAATTCGGAGTCAAGCTCTCCAAAAAAATTGTAATTGTGATGTTTGCTAGTTTGGATTCTTTTTGTCATTTCTTATAACAAGTCAGTTTTGTATCTTGTTATTTCATTTGGGGTTCACTATTGTTAGAATGTATACATCCACTATACGTCAACGGACCAGGTCCCTTGACTCAGATGGAACAGTAACTTAAATAAAAGCATTAAAATAAATGACACAAGCAGTTTACGTGGAAACCCCTTGCTTAAGGGAGGATAAAACCATGACCTGCACTCACAGGATCTCAACTCAACTCCATTATCATCAAGGAGCAAAGATTCAGATTACAAGCTCTTGCAATCTAAGAATTTAACTCTAAATCCCTTCCCCCTCACTTTAGCAACTCTGTTACTAACAAGTTTCAAAGCAACAACTCTGTTGCCCACTAAATCAATTAACCCTAATCGATTTAGACTTCACTAACTCACCATAACTAACTCTAGCTACAACACGGATTCAATGTTAAAGACACTAACTGATTTGATTCCTTTATAACACAAGAATAGATCTACAAGAATAAGTTCCGAAATATAAACCTACAACAACTAAGAACAATGAAAACTCTAGATCTATTAGGTCTCTTGTTGTTCTTGAGGAGAATATTTCTGGACAGAATGGCTTTTGCTATGTTTTGAACTTTCAGAATGCAAAAACTAAGGTTGTGTCCGTTGATATGAAGCTTATATGTAATGAACACAAAACACTAGAAGCAATGTTACTGGCCAACGACCCTACCACTCTACACCAGACGCGCACCACCTCCTACAGATGGCAGAGTGTGCAAAGTACTTTTTTCAGTTGTCCTTTTCTCGTACAGGAGCACCATTCTCACATGAGATTTGATCCCCTTATCAGATCCCATTGTTTATATAAAGCGAGAGAAAATTGTATATATACATATATTTTCGTTCCTCTCTCTCCCCTCTCCCAGATCTCGCTCGCCACTCTCCAGATCTCACTCGCTAGTCTCTCCCTCGCGTCTCTCACTTTATACAAATAGAAATGTATAAATTGTGTTTCTGTTTGTATAAAGCAAGAGAAAATTGTATATACACATGCAAATACATATATCTGCGTCCTATACACTTACAATTATACAAAGTTCAACTTTGGCGACAAGGGTTACTTGAAATTTGAGCATATAACTTGGGCACCATATCAGAGGAAGTTGATTGATGTTAGCCTTTTGGTGCCCGAAGAGATCCAATGGTTGAATGACTACCACTCTAAATGCTCGGAAATCCTCGCTCCTTATTTGAATCAATCTGAGATGGAATGGTTGAAGAATGCTACTGCACCCATTGCAGCTTGAGATGTTCAGTGCTCTTACCCTTTATTGAATAAAGTTTGTAAAATTCGCATCCACACTGTTCAAAACCTATACTTCTTATTATACGTATTACTGCATTTGGAGATGGTGGTCCTGGGAAAAAAGAAAGGGTTTTATTTAAAAAATAAAAAAATAAAATAAAATAAAAATAAAATTACACAATACAAATATTCTCCTGCCCAGTTCTCTTTTGTCTTTCTCTCTTTCTCGCTTTATACAAACACAAATTATACAATTGATTCTTTTGTATATGTATACCGAAACAGATTATACAATTGCTTCTTTTATATATATGTATAGCGAAATAGCTAGCTTCTTTTGTATATATGCATAGAGAAATAGCCATAGCAAACATAAAGTTTGTTATGGAGCGCAATTATGCAAACTATAACTATAGCATACAAATATGATTTTTGCGTTTGCTATATGTAAAAGTTGCTCATTAATTAATTGCTAGTTTCTACCATAAAATTTCTTCTTTTTCATTATATTTATTGTATTCTCTTCAATAATAAAATGAGCAATAAGCAAATTGATAATATTATAGGCCTGGTGGACTAATTTGACCTTCAATATCATATCATCTATAGAAGTAGCACCTGAATCATATCCCAACACCAACTCTAATTAAGGAGGCTAGATTGTATTCTCCTAAAAATTCAGATAACAACTACTCCCTCTCTCCATTATTTTCTTTGTCCGTATCAACTTGGTATACCTTTAAGAAGCAAATCAAACAATTAAACAAAATGATAATTTTATTATACTATCATTTTTTGAATATACTCATAAGTTAAATACTTTGAGAAATGCTTTGAAAAATAATTATAGTTAATAAGAAGAATACATTAGAAATTAAGCGATAGTTTTTTTTAAAATTTTTTTAAAATTGAACAAATAAAAGTAAATATCTATTTTTGGTATATATACGGGATGAAAGTAGTACTAATGAAACTATATACTATAATTTTAACAAAAGGAGATAATTTTGCTACATTCTGACCAAGTTCAATTAATACAAATTTCATTATACAGAATCAGTATAAACAAATTAAAAGAGACATAAACGTATTATCAAACATAGTTGTTGATTTACTTTGTCACATATCTTCTCTTCATCAATATTTTGTTTAAAAGATTTTTCGATGAGACACGTTATGGCCATGGGCCATTAATTGATTAATATTGAATTAACGTACCATATAAATAATAATTAATGAATGAGCCAATAATAAACTAGACCAAAGGAAAGTATCCACTCTATTCTTTAATGAACTAATAAAGACCTTCATCAATTATGATCAATGTTATCCAATGGTTACCATCATTATATATAACTTAATTACTTGCATGTTGTTAACGGTGATATGAGATTTTTTCTAGATATAGTCCACGTTGAGTTGTTATTCATCTTTTTATATTTTGACTTTTTCTCGAAATTTGGAGTTGGTAGTTGCTCATAATATTATTAAGGGAAAAAGGATAAATATATCTCCGTACTATCGTAAATGGTATGCAGATACCCTCAGTCATAATTTTGGGACATTGGTGCTCCTGCCGTCAAAAAACTAGAACATATATGTCCTTCACTCTAATGGAAGACTAAATAGGGACACGTGGCGCAATCTTATCCATCAATCCGATATTTAATAAATATCCAGGCGGTGAATAAGATAATGACACGTGTATGTCCGTTAATATGAAGGGTATATATGCTCTAGTTTTTGAACGGCATGGGCATCAATGTCCCAAAAAAGTATAACGAGGGTATCTTCATACTATTTACTATAGTTCGGATGTATATTTGACCGTTTCCCTATTATTAATAAATCAATTTTAGTTTTTTTTAATCTCTTGATTTTCACCTAGAGGAGGTTTTTGGTACTAATTAATTAAATTCGTAATGCAATTAACCGCTCCATCTAAAATAGCTAGTATTGAAACTATATCAAGTTCTTATTTACTCCAAAGGGTAATTTAGAAATTAAAAGAGTTATTTTTATTTTCGTAATTAATTAATCGATTTGTAAAATTATAACCAAATATTTTTGAATAGGAATTATTTTTAATTTTTTAAGGTGATAGATTTAATATAAAAAAAATATTAGTTGATTGTAATTTATTTATTTTGATAGAATTCATCCAGTCAGGCTTTCACCTCAGGTGATGGTTGTGGAGAGTTTATTTTGCCAAGTCAAAACTGATAGTCTTTTAATTATAAGACTGACGACCCACTCAAATTTGTAATAATTGATTACCAATTACTCCATTTACTTTGTCTGAACATTTCGTGCATGTATTGATTCAACGTACCAGAAAATTAAAAATTGTTTTCTTAACTAGAAATTGTCAAAAGTGTGGCTCATTCTTGTGAGAGTTGCCAAACCTACAACTGTTGTCGTGTTACTGTAGTCAACAGTAATAACTTTTTCATCTATAAATACAGCCTTCATTTTAGTCTCATAATCACAAAATCATAAACACAACAAACAAGTGTACAACTTCATAGACTCTATATACGGGCGATATCTGCTTTTGACTGATAGAAAGCATCTCTTTTGTCCCTCCTGACCGAACTCGCCAAAAAAATCACAATAGAAAAAGTTCTTTTTGCCGGGAAATGGCTTCAAGTTATAACTTGGTGTTTCTTCATGTGTTAGTCATGTTTTGTCTAGCAAACATCACTTTTTCGGATTTATCAGATGATTTCTATGATGATATTTGTCCCCAAGCTTTACCAACCATTAGAAGGGTTGTTGAGGATGCATTCAGCCAAGAGAGGCGAATGGGCGCCTCTTTGCTACGATTACATTTTCATGATTGTTTCGTTAACGTCAGTTTAATTTCTTTTTCTCCTACCTAGTTAAATTTTTGGTACTTTGGTAATTGCTTGAGTTGTCGTTACTAATGTATATCTTGTGTAATAAATGCAGGGTTGTGACGCTTCCATTCTTCTTGATCAAACGGCTACTATTGACAGTGAAAAGACTGCTCGTCCTAATAACAATTCTGCTAGAGGATTTGAGGTGATTGATAGAATTAAATCGGAGGTTGATAGAGTATGTGGACGTCCAGTTGTATCTTGTGCGGACATCTTGGCTGTTGCAGCTCGTGACTCCGTAGTTGCGGTGCGTATTACTCATTTATTCCACTAATAAATATAGGAGTATAAGCTAAAGTTAATTTAGTGAACTAATATTTTGTTACATTATTGACACATACAGTTACATGGACCAACATGGGAAGTGGAACTAGGAAGAAGGGATTCGACTACAGCAAGTAGAACCACTGCTGATAATGACATTCCAACTCCATTGATGGACTTACCTGCACTTATCGACAACTTTAAGAAGCAAGGTTTGGATGAGGAAGACCTCGTTGCTCTCTCCGGTGCCCACACTCTAGGGTTTGCTCAATGTTCCACCTTTAGGAATCGCATCTACAATGAGATTAACAACATCGACTCCACCTTTGCAAGTCAACGTCAAGCAAATTGTCCGCGTAGTGGTGGTGATTCCAATCTTGCTTCCCTTGATCCTACATCTGCTCTTTTCGACTCCAAATATTTCACTAACTTGGTGTCCAAGAAAGGGCTATTGCATTCTGATCAAGCATTGTTTAGTGGAGGAGAGACTGATGAGCTTGTTAAAACCTATAGTACTAACCTAAGGACTTTCTCGAAAGATTTTGCTGAGTCTATGATTAAGATGGGTAATATCAAGCCATTGACTGGAAATGAAGGCCAGATTCGTGTCGATTGCAGGAAAGTGAACTAAGCACGTGCTTCTTGTAAAGTATTTAAAAAAATTGATTACTTTTCAATTGTGTTGTGATTTTAATTCATTTGTAACCTTTGTTACGTTAATTGTTCGGCCATTAATTTTCCAAGAAATTGGATCTTGTTGTTTTCATGTGGCGAGTGAACAAAGATAGTAATATTTTGAATGAATGGACTCCTCTTTTCGTTTTTAATAATTAGATTGATTATCTTCCGAGTTGTTTGATAAGTAGATTACAAAATTAATAATTAATTTGAATAAGCTATCTCTTCTCTTCTTCTCTGTGGACTGTCGTTAAGAGGCATGTTAAAAGTAATTTAATTTAAACGTTTACATTTTAAATTTGATAAGTATCACTTATCTAAATATGCACTTGAAAAACTAAATAAAATGTTTAATAAGTCAGTTTTGATTGGAGGCCATTGAGAGGTGAGTGGTAATTTCAAATTTGTTTGTCTAAAGTTTGAATCTTGTAAATATTTCATTTGGGGTTCACTATCTTCATAATTGTTTGACAAGTATATTATAAAACAAACTATTTACATAAGTTATCAAAAAATATCAAAACTATGGGGTGTTTGGTATGAAGGAAAATATTTTTCTAGAAAAGTGAATTTCTAACTTATTTTCTCATATTTGGTTGGTGAGTAGAAAATATTTTTTGGTATTTGGTTGGTGAATGAAAAACATTTTCTAAAAAAATTACTTCCTCTGTCTCAATTTATATGACTTACTTTCCTTTTTAGTCCGTCCCAAAAAGAATGACACACTTCTATATAAAGTAACAATTTAACTATAAAATATCTATTTTACCCTTAATGAAATGATTTACGGCCACAAAAATTTCTATCATTCATTTTAGAATTTAGACCACAAATTTTAAAAGTGCATCTTATAATTACATCCAGATCGAATTGGATGTGCATCTTATAATTTCATCCAGCAAAAAGTCACACATGATGTACCATTGAGTTCAATGGAGTACTCTAGCAAAAGTAGTCTAGAACAGGCTCTGGAATTATCTACAATTAATTAGTTTAGCTGATAAAAAAAAATTAATTTTGTCAAGTTTAATCTGTTTTTAGCAAATCATTAATAACAATAATATGCTTCATTTTATCCTTTATTGAATAAAATTAGGACTAATAATTAATATCTTCCTTTTTCATAAATTTTATTTTGAATTGTTGAGGTTGTGATCTTTATCACAAGAGTAATTTGAAGAAAAAGTAGCATAGAAATAGAAACAACTGAAAAAATAGGTTCAAAATTAATATTACAGAAGCATAATTTTCGTTAATATAAACCTAAGTAATTGATATAAAAAAATAGATAAAGACCGAATTATTTGATAATTTTTTAAATATTTAAAGGACTAAAACTAATAAGTGTATAATTAAGGAGCTAAATTTATGACATTTTCTCTGGCGAGTTCAATTTAGTACAGTTTTTCATCAGTCTCATTTTCCAATTAATATATGTTCATGCATGCAGAAACGTGATACTATTAAAACCTTGATTAATACGTTGACAAAATTAAAGATACACCAAACATATTATTCAAACATAGTTGTTGATCTACTGATTGCATAATTTTTTCAACATATATTTTTAAAAAAATAGTTTTGGTGAGTGCGGTACGGCAGGGTGCCATATGATTGATTACTATTGAATTAACTTATAAATAATTAATGAATGATTCAATAAAAACGAACTCTGATATTTATCAGTCAACTATTCTTGATTATCTTTTGTTTTGTCTTAGAGAAGCTAAGTTGACCTTTTCTTTTTCAAATCTAGAGTTGGTAGTTTCTTGTAATATAATATTAGTATTAATTAATGTGCAAAACTCTTTAATTACTCTTTCGAATTGTATGACTATATATCTCATGGGAGCTTAGGTTATCCGAAAGAGAACATATTTATTTGATCAACACACCACTTGGCTCACATGCCGGCCTTATTTTTTTGGGACAGTGGGTAGCGATGCCTGCTCTGATATCATACTGACAATATATGATTATTTCATCTATAAATTTAAATTGTTAAATAGAACATATTTATATTTACTTCGTTATATATGTCTTTAACAATTTCCTTATATGATATCAGTCTAAATAACCATTCTCATGAAGTAAATCTTTTCGCTATATATATATCCTTGTAGAAAGTGGTTCTTAGGTTGTGTTCGATATAAAGGAAAATGTTTTTAGAGAATAAGTGAATTTTCTACTTATTTTTTAGTGTTTAGTATAGATAAGCACAAAAAATTATATTATCCTTAAAACATTTATATAAATTCAGAAAAATACTACGAGAGGTCATGTGTTGTGGAGGTAAGGCTCACATCCACTCCATTTATGTAACCATAATTATCAATACATAGGGTGGGGTCAAAGCCAAACCCCCATCACCTTCGAGTGTTCATAACTCAGGGTGAAACAACTTAATATGAACCAAAAAAAGAAAAAGAGGTGAGGGTAGGGAGGTAGGGGCTAATGTGGGGGTGGAAATGAGGTCTGCTGGAGGATGGAAAGGACACAATCTAAGTGAAATGTCACTTGTAAAACTTGTGTTCCCTACTTTCATTAGAAAACTCATTTTTAAAAAAAACTTATTTTCTTAGAAAAAATATTTTTCAACATATATGACCAACCGAACACACCCTTAGCTTTCAATTGTTTGTTATCTTTAGTTACTAGTTTCTATTCGAGCATTGTTATAAACAGGAAACTCTAGTAGAAAATGTCTTACCCCCTTTTACTGGCCTATTCAATGCAATATATAGATTAATATATGTTTTTTCCTAAATAATTGAGAATAATTTTAAAAAATTTCAATTGGTTTTGCAATATTCCTCCGCAGCCCCCACCCCACCACACACCAACCACACACAAAATCCAGCAGATAAAATCATTAAAAAAATGCTTCCGCTACACAAAGTGGAAACTACAACGTACAATTATATAAATGTCAAGTCAAAATTGATATATTTTAATCTACACATTTCCTAATAAGTAGTAGGTTATATTTTATTTTAATTAATCATAAAACGAGAGACGCAGCCCCAACTAAATTTGCATTAAAAATAATTGATATAAATTATATAGTCTGAACATTTCGTGCATGAATTGTCCTCTTAATTAGAAATTGTCAAAGTTGGCTCATTCGTAGACATTTTTATTGACCTATAAATACATCCACATATTACTCTCATATATCATCACTCATAATCATTAACAACAAATAGAAGTGTACAACTTCATTAAAAAAAAAATGGCTTCTCGTAGCTTTCTCTTTATTTATGTGTTAGTCATGTTTTCTCTAGCAGGCATGGCGTTTTCGGACTTGTCCGATGATTTCTACCACCATATCTGTCCCAAAGCTTTACCAACCATTAAACGGGTTGTTGAGGATGCAGTCAGAAAAGAAAGACGAATGGGTGCTTCTTTGCTACGTTTACATTTTCATGATTGTTTCGTTAATGTGAGTTTCTTTTTTATCTCCCACTTAATATTTGGTACTTTGGTTGCTATATATATACGTCGTTATTAATTCTTCTACTTCTTTCTAAATGCAGGGTTGTGATGCTTCAATTCTTCTTGATCAAACTTCTACTATTAATAGTGAAAAGACTTCTCGTGCTAATAACAATTCAGCTAGAGGATTTGAGGTGATTGATAAAATTAAATCAGAGGTTGATAAAGTTTGTGGACGTCCAGTTGTATCTTGTGCTGACATCTTAGCTGTTGCAGCTCGTGACTCTGTAGTTGCTGTACGTATTATTACTACTCCCTTATTATCTTAAAATAAATATATACTTCTCTAGCTTAATTATGAATTTGTTTCTTAACATGATATTTTTACATGAACAGCTACATGGACCAAGTTGGAAAGTGAAACTCGGAAGAAGAGACTCGACTACAGCAAGTAGAACCGCGGCGAACGACAATATTCCAACTCCGTTTATGGACTTAGCTGCACTTATCAAAAACTTCAAGAAGCAAGGTTTGGATGAGGAAGACCTCGTTGCTCTCTCCGGTTCCCATACACTAGGGTTTGCTCAATGTTTCACCTTCAGGAATCGCATTTACAATGAGACTAACATTGATCCCACCTTTAGAAGACAACGCCAAGCAAATTGTCCACGTAGTGGAGGTGATTCCAATCTTGCTCCACTTGATCCAACACCAGCTCTTTTCGACTCAAAATATTTTAGTGACTTAAGGTCCAAGAAAGGGCTTTTACATTCTGATCAAGCACTATTTAGTGGAGGAAAGACCGATGATCTTGTTGAGAAATATAGTAAAAACTTAGGAATGTTTTCCAAAGATTTTGCTGAGTCTATGATTAAGATGGGTGATATCAAGCCATTGACCGGAAAGCGAGGCCAGATTCGTGTCAACTGCAGGAAGGTGAACTAATTAACAAGTGCTGATGAAATAATTGTTTGAAGAATTTGTTTATTTTCAATTGTAAGTGTGATTTTTTTAAAAATTAATAGGCTATCGCCTAAATGTACATGTTGTATTTCATCAGAAAGGTGGAAACACAAGAGGGACCGAACCATACCTCCAAAATAATTCGGAGTCAAGCTCTCCAAAAAAATTGTAATTGTGATGTTTGCTAGTTTGGATTCTTTTTGTCATTTCTTATAACAAGTCAGTTTTGTATCTTGTTATTTCATTTGGGGTTCACTATTGTTAGAATGTATGCATTCACTATACGTCAACGGACCAGGTCCCTTGACTCAGATGGAACAATAACTTAAATAAAAGCATTAAAATAAATGACACAAGCAGTTTACGTGGAAACCCCTTGCTCAAGGGAGGATAAAACCATGACCTGCACTCACAGGATCTCAACTCAACTCCATTATCATCAAGGAGCAAAGATTCATATTACAAGCTCTTGCAATCTAGGAATTTAACTCTAAATCCCTTCCCCCTCACTTTAGCAACTCTGTTACTAACAAGTTTCAAAGCAACAACTCTGTT